GCAAGAAACTCCTCTTTTCACTGCATGCTTCTCCTGGAGCATGTGGAGAGGAGCTTCAAGGCCCAGACATGATCCTTTGGAGTGAATTGAGGAAGGAGTCCCTTACCCAGCATGGTCAAGTGGTACGTCTTGTGGAAATTGCCTTCTGTTGCTACTACTTCACAGGTGTAATTTCCCTCATGGGCTATTCCCACTTGCCGTATCTCAAGGGCAGGATCCCAATCTGGTCTGAATTTCCAGTCCATGCTGTCACTGCAGTTTGTTCTGTCTGTCTTGTTCTGATCAGCTCTGTATCCCAAGGTGCAGGGGCTTCCAATCTTGGGGCTTATTTTCCATGTTACCATAGTTATATTTGATTTGGGAGGGCAGTTGAGCACGAAGCTGTTACCTATTGTCACTGACACTCTGGTGTTCTCTGAAGGAGAGAAAGAAAGAGAAGGACATGTGAGAAGGTGCCCAAGGATGTCTCTCATAGCCTTGAATTCTGGTCTGTGCTTCACAGAGAAATGTCTGCACTGCTACATGCTGCTCTAAGGCCCTGTCTGTGCTCATCTGCAAATTGTCATCTTGTATTACAGCTGTGAATAATGGAGCTGGTGGCCTATCTCAGCTCACTTTCTCAATTCTATCAGCAATTTTCCCACTGGGGCTCATCGTAGTGGATAACACAGATACTGGGGGAAGACCCCACTCCTGCCCATTATCTTAAGCGAAAAACTAGTGTCTTCCTGTTGGCAAATCCTCCAGTTGCCACTTACAGGCTGAAATGATAGAAATTTCGCTATTGCGTTTGGCCAAATGATAATGACTTTTCTCTGGAAATGTCGCTGCCAATGAAGTAAACAACTTTTACTTCTGCATTCATATAAAATCAAACACTGTGGGCAAATGCCTTGTCTACAGCTCCCAGACATGACCTCAAGGTAAATAGCAATGGTGGACCTTTGTACAGGAGGAAAAGTTCTTGCCTTATGTCTCAGAGGTGTCTTCATTTTCTGAATCTTTGTGAACATGTACATTCACACTATGAGTGTTCACAATGTGCACATACACATTCACGCTGTGACTATGTTTTTTTACTGCAGTGGTCCCCATAGGACATGAATGTAGGTCCATCTCATCTTTGTGCCAGGCACGCAGCTACGAAGGTGTAAAATATGCCCGTATCCCTGTGCTTCTTGCTTGCAAGGCTAAGATAGAAGACAAACTTCATCCAGTTGTATCAACTATATTGACTCTCTCTAATAGTGAGTATGTCTTGTTCTTGGATTCTATTTTGCATTTACTTGGAAATACATTCTTTTTTTTTTTTTTCTTTCTATGACACTGACTCTTCTTTTTGGATTCAAAATACAGCTCTGACACCTCCTCTATCTTTTCATGATCCATGAGCTATGTACTTGAAGCTAAATGTCTGTATGGAAAAGCTTGGATAGTCCTCTTGTCTTTTTTGGAAGTTATCACATTGGCCATGACAGAGAGCCAGACCACTATTGTGGCTCCTCTGTGTGCTGTGTTTGTCCAAGACAAGTTACACTCTCAGGATTGCCTTTCATTTTTTGTTTGTTTGTTTGTTCGGGTTTTTTTTACTTACAGGTCCCTGAATTTCTTCATAGGCAAGAAACTAATTTGTCTGGGTTTTCTTTTTCCACAAGCTTTCAGAACTGATTCTTTTTTGCACATATTGAACATGAGTCATGCTTACTCTCTTTATATTGGCCAGATTTGGGACTCCTCGTCTGCCTGTGTCTTCAGCTGACACATCCAAGGGGTCGAGTTTCTAACCCCGAGATTCATTTCATTATTTCCTTGACCATTAAAGCCTCTCACCATGATGCCACCTTTGGGACAGTTCGCTTTCTTTCAACTAGTCACATTGGGACCTTTTCCTTATTAAAGTATTCGGTGGTGGGTGTTGTTCACAGTAAAGCTACATGTGGGCAAGCACTCAGAGATGAAAGAAAGGTCACCTGTAACTGTTCTTCAAGATAAGTTGCTTGTATGTGCGTTAGTGTTGCCTACACTTGCGTATGCAGCCCACCCTCCTTTGTCAGGCACTTTTGAGACTGAGAGTAAACGAGAATCTGAGGCACAGGTTGTAAAACAGTATGAAGAGTAGGTGAGGGAATGGGGCTTTTGTGTCCTTTGGGTTCTGCTGAAATTTAAAGCAAACAACCCAAAAAATCCACGATGTAGGTGTATGTATAAATAACCACCTGAAGAAGACCTGTTACAGATAAATAAAATTTCTTTTTCAAAATCTTCTAGGTGCAACAGTTAATGAGTTAATAAGTATAATGCCCATAGCTGTAGTCCAAGCCAGCCTCCATTTATCACCTCACTCACTTCCTCTTTTCATAGGTGACCATTAAACTTTGGGACTGTAAACCACTGATCTGAGTGCTCTGTATCTCTGGTGGAACCCTGAGTTGCTCTTTCTTTGGGCTCAGTAAAGGTTTTAGTGGCATTCTAAGAGAGCTGTGTGTGAGGAGAAAATCAGAGTGCTACTTTCAAACCATGCTTTAATCTAGAAGGACAACAAAAGTTAACCAGCCTGATTTGTACTGACAAATGAGTTTTTCACAAATTATTCCAAAAATATTAAACCAATTGAAAGTTCAGCCAGAATATGCAAAGAATTGGAAGACCTAAGTTTTGTGTGATTAATCAGACCTTTGTCAAAGTCTTTCTCAGAGTTACTAGACCTGACTTTGTTGTGTTTCTCTATCCTCTACTCAGAGCTGGAATCACTTCTGCTGGCTGCCCCAATGTGAAGCCCAGTTCCTGAACGTTCACAACACTGTAAGAAATGGTCTTAATGAGCATCAACTTCAAATTGTTAGTCAACTCATTCCTATTAGCCTCTTTAACAAAACTGCAGTTAGTTTTACCTTAATAATATTGTCTGAAATCTCATTACCTTCTGGTATCTAGGTGAATGGACCATTCCAGCTTAACCACTTTTCCTTCTGTTTAACTGTGTTCTTGGGAAACGAATTCCAACTCGCAAAATGAACACAGTTCACTGCACTTTAACTACCTACAGATTCCTTTGAAGTTTTTTGCCTTTTCGTTTTGAGGATTAAGTATCCTTTGGGTGAAGACACTTCCAAGCCTAAAGCTAGCTCCTGCATATTGATGGGAGGTGTAGCTGCAATACAGCACCACACTACACTACTCTGTACAGTGCTGTAATGTATTAGTTACTCCACCTGTATAACAAGGAAGACAGAGTGTAATTCTGAGAAGTTGGGTTTTTTTTCTGGTAGAAGAGCAAAATTAGATGAGGACAGTATTTCACTGACGCCATCTAATTCCCATTTTTATTAAATAAAGGAATTAATATGTAGCTTCCTGCTGCTCAATACTGCCAGGATTCATTGACTAATGTTTCCAAGCACAGCTGAAGAAGAAAAATGCTATCTATTCACATGATTTTCTGATACACAGATTACCCACCAGCCCCACACATGCTTGTTTCCTTAATTGAATTGTCAGCAGTGTTCTGTGATACATTATTACACTGGAAGTGTTTTTAAATGATAAGTTTTTTCTGCTTAATGGCATTTCAAGAAAATGTGAGATGTGTGGTTTAAATTCAGATGATTTTACCACGAGAGGAACTGTAAGAAGCCTTCTGTCTCATGATGGTTTCTGGACGTGAGTTCAGTGAATGTCTCTGAAAATGGGAGGACAAAGTGTTTCCTCCCCAGGTTTAACATTGCCAAGAGCCTAAAAGCTCCGAGTCATGTCATCAGTATGGCTGACCGCATTTGAAAATGTCCTGGTTTCAGCTGGGACAGAGTTTGTTTTTCTTTTTAGCAGCCGGAAGAGCTCTGTGTTTTGGATCTAGTTTGGGATTTGTTATGAGAAGAATGTTGATAGTGCTCTGATGTTTGTAGTTGGTGCTGAGACATCATAGATTCATTCATAGATTTCTAGGTTGGAAAAGACCTTAGAGATCATCGAGTCCAACCGTCCCTAATCCCCATTAAACCATATCGCTAAGTAGATCATCCAGCCTATTCTTAAACACATCCAGGGATGGGGACTCAACCACCTCCCTGGGCAGCCTATTCCAGTGGCTGACAACCCTTTCAGAGAA